AAAAATGAGGAGAGGCTTAGGAATCTCCAGGGCATCTTTAAACGCTCCAACATACGAATTATAGGGGTACCAGAAGGGGAAGGGGAAGAGCAACAAGTGGAAAACTTATTTGAACAAATAATAAAGGAGAACTTCCCCAATCTGACAAAGGAAATAGACTTCCAGGAAATCCAGGAAGCTCAGAGAGTCCCAAAGAACTTGCACCCAAGAAGAAACAAACCAAGGCACATCATAATTACATTAGCCAAGATGAAAATGAAGGAAAGAATCCTAGAAGCAGCAAGAGAGAAGGGGACAGTCACCTACAAAGGAGTTCCCATCAGACTGTCAGCTGATTTCTCAAAAGAGACCTTACAGGCAAGAAGGGGCTGGAAAGAAGTATTCCAAGTCATGAAATCCAAAGACCTACATCCAAGATTGCTCTATCCAGCACAGCTTCCATTTAGAATGGAAGGACAGATAAAGCACTTCTCAGATAAGATCAAATTTAAGGAGTTCATCATCACCAAGCCCTTATTATATGAAATGTTAAAGGGACTTACCTAAGAAAAAGAAGATAAAAAAGATGAACAGTGAAAGGACAGCAAACTCACAGTTATTAACAACCACACCTAAAACAAAAGTGAACTAAGCAGACAGCTAGATCAGGAGCAGAACCATAGAAATGGAGATCACATGGAGGGTTAGCAACAGGGGAGCGGGAGGAGGAGAAGGGGGGAGGAGGTACAGAAAATAAGTAGCACAGATAGATGATGGGTAGAAAATAGACAGGGGGAAGGGTAAGAATAGTAGGGGAAATATAGAATCTAAAGAACTTGTGACACATGGACATAAACCAAAGGGGGGGAATGGTGGGGATGCGGTGTGCAGGGTGGAGGGGAATGAAGGGACAGAAATGGGACAACTGTAATGGCATAATCAATAAAATAAAAAAAAATTTTTTTTTAAATTCAAGCTACTTTTCTCATTGCAGGTACTAGGCCGAACATATCAGAACAGATCATTTTAATAGTCACCTATTTTCCCTTTGACTCTGATTTTTAAATGAGAGCCCAATAATTAAATATAACAATACGATAACTGCACCTAAGTCAACCACGTCCAATTTAGTAGTCACCAACACGAAAAAAATGAATGCTCTATATCTGTTCAAAGTTGAAGAGCTGTACAATCATATGTTATTGTCCCTTGGTACCTTCTCATTTTCTACAATGCCTACAGAGAGAAGTTAGTACATCTATAAAGTTCCCAGATTCATTCGAAGAAGATAATTTCTGAAGACTGAAAACATTAATGCAAAATGTGTGCATGCACACACACACACATGCAGATGGCAACTTACCAAAAATAGTTTTGTTTCAAAAATAATACCTTTTAAAATTCAAAATTCATAATCTTATCTCTTAAAAATTACATTTAATGCAATACGGTATTCTCTCAAAAAATAGTTTTAACTCATTAAGTAATTTAAACATTTAGTACGTCTTTTTAACTTTATTACTTTTAAAATTAAATAAAACTATCACTCTTCTTAAATAGGTCCTACATAGCATTTTAAATTAAGGTATAGAGTGACTTCTCTATGTGAGAATTAACAGATATGCTTATATAGAAAACCAAGCAATTTTACAAAAGGAAAAAGCTGAAAACTTTTAAAATAAATTATACTTTCTTTTCAAAAAGCTAAAATCATTTTAGGAATGCTTTTATTCTTCCAACATTCCTACATATGTAATAGGGAATGCATTAGCCCATTTCACAGATGTTTCAGAGCATAATGAAAAATTATTAATCATTATATAATGCACCTTAAAATAGTACTAAAAGAAAGAACTGGGAATACAATCCAGGTCTTCTACTGATACAATTCTTGAATCAAAAAGATAGTGGTAAGTCCATATAGGTAATTGGACCTAACTCTTCCAACTTGTAATTTAAAATCATTCCTGTAGATAATGACACAAAATATTTTAGAAAAGTTCCTTAAACTATAGTAGAAAGAATAAAATGCTCTCAAAGTTAAAATATAGCCCTGGCTGGTATGGTTCAGTGGACTGAGTGCCAGCCTACAAACCAAAATCAGTTCTATTCCCAGTCAGGGCTCAGGCCTGGGTTGTGGGCCAGGTCAGGTCCCCAGTTCAGGGCACATGAGAGGCAACCCCACACTGATGTTTCTCTCCTTCTCTTTCTCCCTCCCTTCCCCTCTGTCTAAAGTAAATAAATAAAATCTTTTTTAAAAAAGAGTTAAAATATATATGTGCACACTCTCATACACACTGCCCACCACTTTAATCTCTATTAATAGCAACAAAAAGTTTAAAAAGTACAACACTTCACATACACAATTCAAAATACCAGTTTACCTCTCTTTTAATAATGGGATCAGAATGGTCTAAACATTCTATTATTGTCATCTGGTGCTGAAGAGCCAGGGTGGGATCCTGCTGGATAACATAGGTAAGAGCCTTCAGTCCTGAAAACAAAGATCACGTTATACTAAGTGACTTGAAATAAGGAGCAATCAGATTTCAAAAGCTCTCTGTAATTTCTGGCAAAAAAAAACAATCATCTTACCTAAATATTTGAGATTTATTTTAGGTGATAGGACAAATTTTCCAATGCACTTGGCAGCCTTCTCAAGTAATTCTGATTTGGGATAAATAGAATAGACTGTATGTACACATTCAAACAGAATAGCTAGAGAAAAAAACATAAAAATATCAGGGATCATGTTAAGGCACACTAAAAGAACATATCTCATAACATGTAGAACTCATAACAAAACAAATTGGAAGGCCAGTTTTTGTCAAAATCTTTTTATGGAAATTTTTCAAAGATACAATTTTCGAACTTGACTACTTTCAGGCTTACACAGTTATTAGGATTATGTCACCACAGTATAATTTAAAGGCAATTATGTATAGTAACAGATAAAAGTGATACATTCCTTCATGCCAAAGTATTTACTGAACACCTCCTATGTGCCAGGCATTGTCCCAGTACTATGGATACAGCAATGAACAAAACAGATGGAACCCTGCTCTCAAGAAGCTCACATTCCAATGGACACATAAGAAATATATTCATTGTTCCTACATAAATAGGTATTTCCAACACTTCTTGAATGCTTTAAAATAATTTATTTTCAGGCTATTTCTACCAATTGTATACAAAAACTGTATGTGATTTATTCTAATATTATCACTTCAAAATGCATTAGCATTGATTTCAAAGTAGAGCCACTGCTTAAAAACCTCCAAGTTACTTCTTTAAAATTAATCTCGTAGAATATACAATAATCTACTGAACATCCTGATAGTGTTCAATATGATTTTCTCATACAGTCAAAGATCTAGTAACTCTGACACATGATCCAAGTGGACACCAAAACTGTTTTCCAAACTCTCTGAAAGAGCATGCATGAGTCGGGAGCTGGAGCTCTGCCATGGTAAAGGAGAATCACTGAGGCACCATTAAGCCCGCATGTCCTATGCAATCCCAGTATGAGGAGGGAGACAGAATCATCAGACTTAAAAACAGTTCTAATACGAGTTGATTTCTACCAAGTGTCCTTGATAGAAAACACTTTTTCTCTATTTTCAAAAGCTTAAAACATAACAATCAGACACTTTGTATACAGTATAGATAGATCCTGAATATTCAACTAGCTATGGTTTACAATAAACTGCCCATCAATTGAGGCATACATAAATACTGTGTAAAAACTTTATATATACCCTTTCTATAAAAGGAGAGAGAAAAGAAATCAGAAATATAAATTACTCATTAAGAAGGAAACTGGATGGTCAGTTCTGATGTCTGAGTGACCACCAGAGCTCAGCAAAGGGACCAAGTTTCCAGAACCCTGAAAACAAGGGGTAATACCCTCAAAATGGGACTCATTCCACTCCACCTTCATTGGCTGAGCAGCTGCCAAGAACGAAGGCTGCGTCTCCAGACACCTGACAAACACATGCAGTACTGCCTCACAAACTGATTGCTTCTTTGAGGTGCCCACAAGTGTATTTGGGGAGAAGCTTCAAGAATGAGTGGAAGAGCAGCTGTCCTTCTATGAGACTGGAGATTTGTACTGGATGTACAAGCCTCTCCCAGGAAGATCAGAATGGACAGTGGTACCCTGGTGGGGTATAACCACCCACAGTGACCCACCACCTACATCCCAATAAAAACAAAATCACAAGGAACAAAAAGAAGGGAACTGGGTCCTGGCTCAGTAGCACAGATGGTTAGAGCACTGTCCAGAGATGCCAAGGTTGTTGGTTTGACCCCCCCAGTCAGGAGGTCAAAGAATCAACCAATGAATGCATAGGTGAGTGGAACACACTGATGTGTGTGTGTGTGTGTGTGTGTGTCTCTCTCTCTCTTCCCTCAAATTACTAAATAATTTTTTTAAAAAGAAGGGAACTGACTTTAATTAAAGGAAAACATACAAAGTTAACTGAACCTAAAAAGACACTTTGTATATTCAGATGTTGTACTACAAAATGTCTTTACTCTGTTCTATAAAACAAGTTGACTTTGCAACTTTATGAACTAAACAAAGAGAGTCTTAACTAATCAATAATCAACTAAGGCGGGAGTGGGCAAACTACCACTAAATCCAGGCCTCAGTCTATTTTTGCAAGCCTATAAATGAGAATGGGTTTTACATTTTTAAATTGAGATGTAATTGACATATACTATATTACTTTCAGGTGTATAATTACATTTTTTACAGGTCGTAAAGACAAAGCAAAACAAACAAAAACACAAAGGAAAATCTGTGACAGAAACTTATGTGACTTACAAAGCCTAAAATATTTACTATCTGAATCCCTTTTCAGAAAGTTTGCCAAACCCTAAACTAATGTGACAATCCTAAGCAAGATTTAAAATTATGATGTTCCATTTTCTATCATAACTGACATATTTGCCTTTATGTATTCCTGTCATTCAGAACTCTCTTGCTATCAAATTGTTTTACTATAAAAAAACTTCTCAGCTTTGCACAGTGGCAGTATCATAGCCAATGAGGTTTATCTGAGGCACAATTATTGCTAACTGAAAAAACTTCTCATTACTCTTCTAAAATCTAAACTTTTATATATAGATTACCATAAGATTTGTGGAAAGCTATTCTAGGTAAAAATTAATAGTTTAAAAACTGTACTTGCTGGTTGACTTTGGTGTAAATTAGCTGAAAATGAACTTAATGGAGTTTTAAATTATTTTCCCTTCTAGAAGTAAGTCCCTTTATTCTCCAACTCTGCGAAAGTCTGAATGTAAGTTCATGAGTAAAAAAGCAGCGTTCTGCTGTCTTCCCTCTACAGTGGCTAAATGAAAAGCACTTCTGAGGATTTCTAAACACAGAACTTTACACTTCTGGAGGAACACAGGTCCTCACTAAAATATCACCAAGAAAAAAATTCCCAAATTAAAAATTTAGTAACATTCTAACATCTGTGACACCATGGGTTTACCATAAATACTTTGGGTTGGAATGTGCACAAAGAAGTTTTACTGCTATCTTACCCTTCAGACTAGACTTCAATTTTAAATAAGTTGGGTATCTATCTACTGACAGCACTCTGGCAGAGATGGAGGCACCACCTAACAGGGGTGCAAGTCCAGGGTCTCTGCTCGCTCTGCCCACTTGGACACTTTGAGGAGGGAATCCTGGCTTCTCGCAGGTGGGAGATGCAGGAATCTGCTGACACTGTCCTGCCTGGGAGAGGGAGGAGTGCCTCATTACTGCTCCCTAGGTTGCCCTGACTTTCCACTAGCTCCTTCTAACTTCTCAGCAAAGAGGGGGAAGGGTACCTTGTCACTACCCGCTCCCAGATACTGTGAAATACATGCTTCCCACATCATCTCTACTGACATTGCAAGAGGGTGCCCCTGTTAACACATGGCAGGGATGAAATTCCTGCTCCCCTCTTGGGCTTCTCTGCCACCAGCCCACTAGGAGGGTTGGGGCTCCTTCTTATACCTGGTGAGGGAGGAAATCTAGGTTCTCCACTAAGCTTTTGCTATAGTGGGTAGATTCATACCTTTTTCTGTATGGTGCTTGGCTGGAATAGAGGGGCTGTTCTAAACATTTTCTACCTTGCTAGTTCGCTCTTGCTCTTTCTTCTAGGGTTGTTTTGTCTGTACCTGTTGGCATTTCCAGGTTGCTGACTCTCCAGTACCCAGTTTGGGGAATGTGAGGCAAGAAAAAAAACCCAAGGTACTCACCGTGGTGTTGTGCCTTGTGTCCCGAGGTCCCTAACCAGCCTACTTTTATTTCTCCACCCTTCAGACTCTTGTGTTTATTTCGCATTTAATGTCCAGGGTTTTTAGGAATACTTAGTATAAAAAAGAGGGAAAGGTACCTCTATCTACTTCTAATGGTTCTGTGTCCTTTGTACTCCATTTTATATAATTCTCCCAATTTACTAGTTTACTAAAAATGTCATTCTCATCTTCTCAGTACCCTGCCAAAAAAATCTCCCACACCTCCAGATTCATACAGTGTGAAGTCCAAACTCATTTGGCTGCCATGCAAAGACCTCCATCCATATCATGGCCTTTCCACTGCTCTTACTATGAATGATCCACTCAGGCTGGTGAGTCAATGTTCTCTGAAAGTGTTCTAAATATCTCCATTTCCACACCTTTTCTCATGTTGCCTCTTCCAGAACTCCCCTCAACCTCCCTTCTGGCCATGCAAATTCTACCCACCTTACAGTCTATTACATCAATAAATCACAATGATCACTACCACCTCAGAACTCCTTCCATACTTACTTCCTGTACCACCCCTTCAAGTTCTGCCTTATACTGGTATTATGCTTTCATAATTAAGTTATCTCTTCCAATATATTATAAATTCCTTAAAGCCAAAAACTACATTTTATACTTCTTCATATTCTCTACATCACTTTAATACAAAGCCTGGCACATAGGAAATACTCAATAAATCTCTTTGATGTGATTTATTTCTTGATTTGACAAGAAAGTTATAATAATGGAACTTTCATAAAAAATACAGTTTAGGAAGTATTAAGACTAAAACTCAATCACCTAGATAACTGACAGAAGTAAAATGACTTTGACTTTCTCTTCCTTCCATTCAATTAAGACATATTACTCACTGATTAACCCAGTGCCACATACTGGGATAAGCTAGCGAATAAGACAGACACAGTCCCTTCCCTTATCAAGTTTATAATTTAAAATTCACATTCTTAAGTAACAAAATATTTATTTAGAGATTACTAGAGAATACTCTACTACTGGTAAAATCAATGTTACCTACAAATTATAGCAATACAAATATGGGATAAAACAATAATGATGGAAAGATGAATAAAGGAAACAAAACAACAGAAACTGTCAGGTGTCTGTGGCAGTGAAGCACTGGACTGATGGCCTACAAAGAAACAAACTGTTGGAGCTGACGGCACTCAGCCTGGTGCCAGCCATCTGAGTAAGAGAAGGTGTCCTGGGGGAAAATATTTCATCGGGTATACAGTATCCTCCCAATCAAAAGGCACCGATAACAGTGGCCATCTCTAGAAAGGGGAACTGCGTGGTGGGTGATAAGGATCAAAGGGACACTTACTGTTCACTGTATACCCTTTTGTACCTTTTGAATTTTGAACCATGTGCATATATTACCTATTCAAAAAAAATAAAAAAATTAAAGCTGAAATGCAGTTACCAAAAAAAACCCAAAAAACTTTCTACAAGAAAAACAAGATTCTTAACTAATTTTAAACAAAAGTCCTCAAGAGGCTTTCAAACTTTTATCCTATACACTGATTACATCTCAAACACCACCTTTTAACTTACTTTAGCTACCTACCAAAACTCTGACACTTCTCAGGACCTTCCAACAACCCGAGCCAAACTGCCATCCTCACCTCCGGCCCCCTACTCTTCTCATTACAATAGCAAGGATCCTACATAATATCAACTGTTCTTATACTATACACTCATAAGGGCAAGGGCTGTGTCTACCTTATTCCTCCTTTAATCTCCCACACTCAGCATGGAGGAATATAAGTCAATCAACTCTTTCCTCTAGCTGTACCTAGTTTACTAATCAAAGTTCTGTTTTGTAGGAATTCAATAAATACTGGCTAGAGAAATGAATAAACCACTCTTACTGCCTTTAATCACCATTCACACATGCAAAATGTAAATCTATCCTTTTAAATTTACTAACCCAATGCAATCCTTCCTCCTTCTTCCTACTGCATCTTTGTCAAGTACTTTTATTACAATTAAACTAGTTCAATTTCTGCCCACTACCCTACATTTCTGCGGTTTACCAGTATCTAAAAGAACCAGTAATGCTCCTCCCAGTACTTCATCAGATTAAGAAACAACTTATTTGAGTAGTCTCTCTCAGTGCCTCTTCTCCTACTCTTCTCCACCACACGCAAAATTCAAACTGTCTTACTTCTACCTTGTAAACATCTCCAAATATCCCAATTTCTTCACAGAGCTTTCTCAAACTGATCGATAAAGAACTAATCGTTCCTGCCTCTGGCTATTAAGTTGGAAGTATTTTTGGTTACTTTTCTGAGTTCCCCGCTCTTCTCCCCCAATGTATTCTTGTCTCTTATCACTAAATTACTTTTTAAATTATATAACATTATATATAAAGATCTGTCTCTTCAAAAAATAGTATGCTATTATTCCACATATACATCCTATATACCCTTATCTATATCATACTCAACTTTCAATTGTGTTCTTAAATATCACTTTTTCATAAACACCTTCCTTGTTCTCCCCCTCACCTAAGACTAGCTGCTATACTCTCCCACAGCACCCTGTAATTCTCCTTTATAACATTTACAGCACCCGGCCCTTTGTATTTATCTAGTCTTTGAGGCAATGATAACACTGTTTTATTCACAGCTGTATTCCAAGTATCTTGCACAGTACTCGACAAATAACAGAAAGCTAAGAAATATTTGACAACTAGTTGACTAACTGATGTATTTAAGAACTATTTTATTAAGTATGGAACAGGTCTACTAAGTTGATAAATATTTTCAATAGAGAGATAATTTCTCTTAAAAAGAAAGTATTAAAAGAGAGACAAATATAATAATGAAATTAGGTCAACACTTAAAAGAATGCCATAAGTTCAAATTATTTCTATTAGTTATTTAATGCTTCCACTGAAAAATAATAACCCAAAGAATCACCTTAAAAACTGACATATAAAATTCAATTGGAATGTTTAATACTCTAACACAGATTCAGCTATACTACTAAAAAATACTGTTAGTCATTAGAGTAGTATTTACACATTACCTACCATATGTGATATTGTGATTTAACTCGGCTCTTCGTAAGGATTCATCAAGAACATCATACATTAATTCACTTGTCCTGTTTAAAAGATATTTTATTGGCAGTAGAATTATAGTATTATAACCCAATAAAACACAGTTTTTCAAACTTCTCTCTCCTTAAAACTGAGGATCTACAGAAAAGAAGTGAAAAAATTTCATTTTATGAAGCTATGGGAATTTCACTTCTTACAGATTCCATTTGCTCTTTTTAATGAGTTACGTCCTGCTTTATCAAAGTTTACTAGTCAATGAAGATAAACATAAGTCGATCAACTCTTTCCTCAACCTGCACCTAATTTACAAATCAGGTTTTTATTCAACTGAACATACTATCTTTTATCATTTTCTTTGGAATAAAATATTTCTACCTGTTTCAAATTACTACAGTAATACCTCACATATCCAAACAGTACATTATCTGTATTTAAACCACATAATTTTTTTAAGTTTTAAAGTATTCGAATACTACTCTTTCTATGAATAGCACTGAGTTCTTCAGAAAGAAAACTTTATCTTTCATTTATGTTAAATATGTGAAATATAAGAAAATACCACTCCTATGTCTTTATGATCACTGATTACTGTTACAACAGCCGGACTGAAGTGGATGCCGTGAGAAAATGCAGCGCTTTACAGAGTTGTAGTATTCATCCTCCCGCCTAGAAAAGTCCCCTCCAAGATGCCAACATGAAAACTATGGCTTCTCAGCTGGTATTTTTGTATGTCTTACAAATTCAAAAAACCCTAATAGAAATAAAAACTGCCTCAACATAGAATATACACAGTAGTCT